ACGGCATGCAGCCTCAAGAACTGTCAAACTGTTTCTTTGCATTGGCAAAGCTGGAGGGTGTGGCTGACCTTACTATTGCCAATATTCTGCCAAGGTTTGTGTGTGTCATTGCAGCGCAGGTGGCGAGGAAAGCAGGAAGCCTCAGCTCAGCTGACTGTGGAAATTGTTTATGGTCGGCAGTGAAACTGCAAGCAGCAGCGCCAGTAGAGATTGCAGCGGCTGTGGCAGCCGTTGCAGGGAACATACCGAACAAAGTCGAGGGCATGATGCGCCAAGATCTCACGAACAGCTTCTGGGCTGCTGCAAAGTTGATGAACACGGAGGTGGCTGTCTTGCCTGCCGTTCCAACTCTGGCCGTGCAAGTAGCACGCGTCGCAAGAAAAATGAGTCCTTCACAGACGGTTACTTGCTTATGGGCTGCGTCGATGTTGCAGGATGCAGCCGCAGACGTGCTGGCAGCTGTGCACGACCTTGCCCAGAGCATGGCTGATAAGGTGGGCCGCTTGACCCATCAACAGCTGTCGCTGAGCCTTTGGGCAGCTTCCCGGCTCCAGGACTCAGCGCCACAAGTCGCTTGCATGGTGCCAGCACTGGCAACGCGGATGCTGTCGGAGACGGCCGGTCTTCGAATGCCGGACTTGCGGAACGCTCTTCATGCAGCTGTTCGCCTTGACGAACTGGACTTAGAAACTGCATTGCTTGGGGAGCTGTTCCGGCGTGGGTGACCTCTTTATATGCAGGTCCTTGTGGGTGCAGCTGCTCCATAAAGGCGAGTGCTGTGCCAGTGGATTGTCAAGACTTTAACGGCGGCGAGCGTTGCGAGGAAAATGGGCCTTCACTGACGTTGGCGGTACTTTGCAAGGGACCACCTGGTTTGGCTGACTGGATTTCTGTTCCTTCTAGGTTCCACCACTTTGATGCTCTGCATAAATTTTGCAGTTCATGTGCACAGCGGCACAGAGAGCTGCAGCAGGGTCTGCCCGTCAAGCTACGTGTTTCGAAAACAAGCGTGTCGGATATAGGTATCGGGCAAGTCAGTTAGTGTTGGGGCGCGCTAAAACAGCCATGACTTGGAAGAATCTATTTCAACGCCCCTTCAAACATCATGTCGAGGTCCAGCTCAAGGAGCATATCTTCAGCAAGGTGGGTGCAAGCGGTTCTTCTAGGGAGAATTCGATCAAGCTCTAAATTAAAGTTGGCTGCTCATCGACCCTTCCAAGGGATAGTGGCAAGCGGGATGTCCGAGCCCAAAATTGCCAAAGCAAGAACATACACAAGGCATATATCTGCCTTGTCCACGGCAAGCTCGAAAACCGAGTCCAGTACGTGGAGCTGGTATCTCAGCAGAGTGCTGCTCTGGAGACTTAAATTGGATATGTAGTAATGGAAAAGAAAAAGGAAACTACTATTTAGGATTTAGGGTTTAGGATTAAGGAGTGGAGGTCAATGTCGTTGCCCAAGAGCAACTGTATGCCATGTTGCGTTGGCGTCTTCGCAACCCTTTATCCCAACAGAAGCTCTAAGCCATCAGACACTGCAACATAAGCGGTAAACTGTCGGTATTGCTGTTTGTGAGAAACAGGGCCGTGGCTATGAGTCTCATGAGGAAAGTTGCTCTATTACTGGCTGCTCTCTTGAGGCGGTTGCAAAGCCAGGCTTAGCGGAAGCTAAGGCCCTGAGTTAAATGAACAAGGTTTCCATATGAACTATGCAAGCCGAGATGCGAAGGAGGTGAATCTGTCTAGCTGACTAGGAAAGCTCACCACCAAAATGCAACCTCAACGGTTGCTGGCATGATGTCTGCAATGCTGGCCAGGAAATGCCTTGAATCTCAATCTGAATAGTAGATATTGGTAGCAAGGATGCAGTGTGTCTCTAATCAACACGCAGGTTTGAAGAGCTTGGAAGAGCTTGGAGTCTGGGTTCCACACTGATCCGTTTTTGCAATTAGTTTTAATCTTCTTGCTTGGCAGACAACTCAGTCATACATAGGTCTGCAACAGATGCCTCAGTTTCTGTCATGCTAAGTATGATCAGATGATCTCCTGCAAGTCCCTTATTCCCTAGTCTATAACCCCAATATGTGCCCCCGTTATCCTATAGTGGCTTCAATTTCCCTTTCCATGATCCCATATAACCCCAAATATGCAGCCAGTCCAAGAGAAAGAGCAGCTTGAATATACCCCGGCAAAGACGATGTAGTGCAGGTGCAAGTTTGCAGCTTTGGGTGGGAGTGGTGATTTCGCAGCCGGCCTCCCAGAAAACTTTCGCGCGGCGCAGGTTGGTCTTGAACAACAGCTTTGGGTACAACAGTGTGGGTCATTATTGCTATTACTATTGCTATTGGTACCATTACTATCGCTATCATTATCCCTATTACTATTATTACTGTTTTGAGCTGTGGAGAGAGGGAGCACCTTAAGAGCCGCGTATTCATTTCCACTGCCGCGCTCTGTTTTGCACATGCTCTCAGATTAGCTTCCAAGAGTCGCGCCATACTGTTATACACATACAGCTTGCTGGGAGCTCATGAATGGCTTTGGGTATTGAATTGTCTGTCTGTTTGGGCCTGTACCTCCTCGGGGTAGGGTGTAGGGTCTAAGGTATGCAAGCTATCCAGAGATTGGCCCAATCCACAAAACCCTGAGCACTTCTGTGCGGAATAGCTGGTAGGCCAGAAGCCAAAGGGCAAAGTGCCAGCTGCAGCATGTCAGCGGCAGCCGAGCAACATATGATTACAGTATAGTACAGTATAGTGTAGTATATTATAGTATATCATGGTATATTATGGTATAGTATGGTATATGAATGTATATTAATTATAACAAAATTTGATAAAGCCGGTGCCTTCCCGACCTCGGGCCAGCTTCCCAGGTGCGATGTAACACCCCATGAGGCTGACTGCAACCAATTCTTGGAGGGTCAGGGAGACTTAGTAATGATGGAAAAGAAAATGGAAATTACTATATGATTTAGGGTTTAGGGTCAGGGTTACTTTTTCGTTATAGGGTTAATAAGCTACTCACTAGGCCCCCCCCTGACCCTCCAAGTGTTTGCCTAAACCTGTGCCAAGATCATGGTGAAGCACGACCACATCAACGATCCCTTTTTCTCAAAGCAGCTCCGCCGCCTTTGGAGTTTACCGGCACTGGACGCTTTCAGTCTGGTCATGTCTGGTCCAAAGCCAGCTTATTGTGCTTGCAGGCTTTATTCCAAACCAAGGGTTGTGTGAACTCACCCTGTTCTTTTTTGCTTGACCCAAAATGTGGTCATCGGTTTGCTCTTATTGTCGCTTTTTCAGGGCCTTACTGTATCATTTTGTTATCGTTCTTTTTCCTCGTGTCGTTCTCCGAGCGAAGCCTACATTTTGCGCTTCGCGGCATGCCATGAGATTCTCCTCTGACGTGGGTTTATTACATAACCCCAGCTTTGTTTCGTCCAGTCACCATGCAGGGCGCCAATGCCAATCTCCTATTCATGCTGTGCTGCGGTAGATAAGATATCCAGCTGATTCCCAGCTGATCATCTCTTGAAGCCCTTTTGGCTACAGATAATACTACGGCACCTAATATTTAGGGGCATTAAAATGGGACCCTACTTTTTTTGTCCACATGGCAGGCAGAAGCAAGGCTGGTGGAAACACCGGGAGATCAAGATGGCAAAGACATTCTTCAAGCCACTCGCGTGAGACCGCATTGACTTTTCAGCCTCTAATACGGTAGCTATTATCTGTATATTGGGCTGTCGGGCTCTGGGCCATGAAGGTCTGAGAAGGCAAAGAGGCAATCTGCGTAGAGCTGCTCTCAGGCCCCTGAAGTGCCACCAGACGAGCTACAGAGACCATTCTAGGTTGGAGCCATCAAGCTGGCCATGCTGCCACCATCTGATTTTTGTTGAACTGATGGACCCAGAGCACGCTGCAAGTATCAGACAGCGCGAGGTACTACAAGAAGGAGTCGGATGGATCAGAGTACTCGCTTGCCGTGCCGGTATGTTTGCTTTGGGTCAGGACGAGCCATGGTTGGGAAAGATATGAGGGCAAGAGCTGCTGCCTGTGTTGTCGCCCGCATGAAGCAACAGTTTAGGTTGCGAAGCCATGTGACACATTTTGCGGCTCGAGTGGGGCACATCTAGCCACCATGGAGTTAGGTGCGAGTCCTGCTTAACTTGTTGTATCATGGCACGATAGCTGTGGCAGGTGTACGTCAACATTCTGAGCGGTATCACCCACCAGGCAGGAGCAGCTTCAGCATCATGCAGAAAGCAGGAAGGTAATGGGTAGGCATATTTCACATTGCATAGCTACGATGCAACATTTGGTACATGGGCAGGTTCGCGTGACGTTGAAGAGTGTTGGACATCCACTGGTGTCTGATGACCGCTACCTTCCATCTGCTGTGGTGACTCGCCACGAAAAAACCAGGGCAAGATGATGGTGCAACATGTTTGCCAGTGTCGTTTGGATGCTGCCAGACAATGTTTCGGGCAGTTGGCTGAGTTAGACTAGAGGATCCTGCTGCAGTGTGCCAGGGGCGTGCCAAGGACTTTTTTCCCGAAAGGTCCGCCCCAAACCGCTCCTTCTGAATCCAAGCCGTATCCTCCAGCTGCATATCTAGCTCACCAGGAAACCGGTTACCTACCGAGCCAGCCTTTCCGTTATAACTAAATGTCGGATTGAGGTTGTTCTCAACAAGCCAGCAACCTTTAGTATGCGTCGTGGGTGTTGCTGACATGTAAGGCTATTGCAGACGCTGACTGGTGCCCGCGGAACTTCCTCGTCGAAGTGAGATCGGATTGGTTCGACATGTGCGCCTGTCCAGCCATGATATGAGTGTATCCTACAAACATGACACATGGCCTTGGGATTCCACCACAATTGTTTAAAGCGGCTGAAGCATGAGTGGCTCGCTGGACACTTTTACGTGCTTTATTCATACTGCCTGCGTGCCATTTATAGTCCCTGTAGGCCGGATGCTACCAGGTGTTGCTTCAAGGCTATACAACTGTGTGAGAGCATGGATGTTTGTTGGCTGTGAGTTTGATGCGCAGCTATGAGTTGTTCAAGTGAGCTCATTCTGTTGTTTCCCATGTGTGCAAGTGCTTCTTTTCCTTGAGGTCTATGATTGACAGGGCTAATCCAGCGATTCATTTTAAAGTTGAAGCCCATGAGGGTCATGAGACTCGAGACCTTGGCCATTATATTTTTTTACCACTGCTATTTTCTTTATCATTACTACTATTCTTCTTGTTGTTACTGTTATTGTTACTAGTATTATCATTGTTATCACTATTATTTCTAAGTTGTGCCCGGCCCAGGTGTGGTCCTTTCGAAGACCGCAAGCGGAGGGCGTACACCAGGAGAGACGGCTTGGGCTCAGCCATGGTAGTAGTAATCATAGGTAGAACAATAATTTTCAACAATAACCATAGCAAAAATAATCGTAAGAATAACAGCATTAATAGCAACGATGACAGTAATAACCATAGTTGTCTTAGGAGCCAGCATCAAGCCACACGTACATGGGCAAAATGATATTCAACTTGCCTTTTCCAGTATGGACGCACCGTTTCCGGCTGTGGCAGCCCCGTGAAAGCTGCATTTGCCCACTCGCCAGCCCATTCAGCCCCTGCAAGAAGAGGGACTTCGTTCCACGAGTTTTGAGTGGGAGGATCTCCATAGAGAATCCTTTGCCGAAGCTGTTCCAAGACATTCTGTCGAAGAAGC